CACATCAAGTGCATTAGGGACGGGAAAACTTCTATGAGAGGTCATTATAGGGATTTTTCGCAATATAATCCTGATGTGTGGCCGTTAAACCGAGTTATGGTCCAATTTCAGGCACACGCAAAATTTAACTAAATTAATTTTAATTAAAATCTCAAGAAGCAATTCTATTGCCTTGGGAAAGCTTCTCAAAAGCCACGAGTTGACAATAATCAATCATGATTGAGCAAAACATTACTTTTTAATTAATCACGACTCAACTAATTATATTCCAAGTCTCTGAAAACACTAAGCTTTTTAATTAAAATTTTAAGAATTTATTGTTACTGAAAGCTCTGAAAGGTACAAAGAGTTGCAAAGGGAAGTCTTATTCAATTCTAAAAATATATTATAAGACTCCATGTGGAACTGTTCAATCATTACATTTTACTTCTTAATATAGATTTCCAAACAGATGCCAAGTATTAAACTCACATCTACATTAGTGCATTATCTTAAAATAACAAATTTGATTGGAAAGAAAACAAGCCGCACAAATATTTAATTTAAAATGCAACAATTAACAAATTAATTAGTTGTTCAGTTTTCAGAGAAAGAAAGTCATAAACTGTCTTTCACTATTAAAAAAAATTGTTGTATGTCATTTTACATTTCTCTCTGTTTTTGTTCTAACCTTTTTCTTTTTCGTTCTGGTTTTATGATAATTTCAATTTCCGATTCCCGTTTCCCGTTATGGTTTCCCTTAGTTTTACAAAAAAATGTTTATACATTTTCAAATAAATTACATCTTAAATCATTTTTTTTGTGTTGTCAAATTAATAATAAGTAATAGCTCTTAAAGAATTAAAGAATAAAGGCTCCAAAATTATATAGTTTATTCGTTCTGACATTTACCAAAAAGTCTTGCATTTTTATTTTTATTATTAAACATTTTGTTTCTATTTAAATTTTGTTCTACCTTTATTTTTTATTCACATTTTAAGTAGCCCAATGTAGTTATAGACATATGCAGGGTGAATATAAAGTATGGAACCAAGGGGTTTTATTTTTAATCATTTGCCTCCAGAAAATAATAATTAATATAAATTAAAGTAATATAAAAAATATGATCGTATTTTCAGAACGAAATTTTGTTTTGTTCTTGAGTTATGCGATTTTTTTTGTCAAAATTGCAATTTATGTGAAAAAATTTTTTTGAGAAAATTAAATATAATGCATATAATTGTAATCCTTAGAGTACCTATAGCTTTTATGACAAAAATGATTTTATAGTGGGTTGCCATTTAAAAAAATATTTTTTTTGTAGAACTCAAAAACAAAAGAAAATTTCGAAAAATTTTATTCTTGTTAAATCATTACATTTTTATAGTACTCTATCACTCATCAATTAGTTTTTTCAAAAAATAAATAGTTTAAGCAAAAAACGTTTGGTTCCATACTTTTTATTCTCCTGGTATAATTAAAACCAAATTTATAAAATATGTATTTCTTCAGTGCAAAACCCTATTTATATTTTTTTTTAATCTTAAATATTCTAATTTAAATTTGGTTTCTTTTATTTTTACAAAAAACCTACACGTTACATTAAAATCCTAAAAGTGATTTAAAAGTAGGAAAGAAAGATGCGCGGGACGTGTAGGGGGGAGAACGGCTATGCTATAATTTCTACAAAACATTTGCAAATCCAATAGTGTGAGTCTTACGCGACTATGCCGCCAAAACATTTTCGAATCCGGTAGGATTTGACCATATAACTAGTTGAAATCCTAAATTTTATCTTAACATTTTTACTTTAAGCAATAATTAAGACATTTTCTAACTTTTAGAAATCACGAATCTTTAATTTATTATAAATTACGCAAAGATACCGTTTTTGATATTCATGTTTTAACAAAATCCTTTCATTTTTTCCGAAAATTTTAAAATTTTTGTATACAAACATCGATTTTGAAGATTTGAAGTCTTTCTTAGGAGCCTGGTTATCTAAATTTGATAAATTTCAATAAACTCGGTGAAACTATTTTTAACCGACTTTGTAGTTAATTACATATGCTTTTCTCGCATTACAAATTTACTTAAGTTATCTTATTTTGTTTAGTCATTGTTGGCGATAATGTTAGTAAATGCAGACTGCAAACAAACATTCGAAAAATTGCACTGGATATAAGCAAGTAAATTTAGAATTTAATCAAACGTGTTTTACGCCTTGGGAGTTTAAATCTGTCAAATGTAAGGCTAAACAGTAGTTTATAACTTGTCATCACAAATCTAAATTTCATTTCGGACGTAAATTAATCACCAATTTGGTGGCAAATTAATTAAGCGTAAAAGTTTATACTTCATTTATGACAGTCATATTTCACAAAGCCCAGCATTAAAAAGCGCGACGCGCTTTTAAACAAACAGAAAAATCTTTTTGAATTTGAAAAGTTTAATAAGAAAATGAACCCAAGTCTAAATCTCGTTAGCTGTATAAATGCGAAAGTTTCCTCCGTCGCAACTCCGAAAAACTGTTTAATTTTAACTTTAATGAATTGCAAGTAAACGTTCCGTAGGTAGGTATTTGTTTACATTTGATAAACAAATTCGTTGACCGCGTATTCGCGAAAATGGGTCACAATACAAAACACCTTAAATCATATTTAGTCGAGCGGAAAAGAAACGAAAACAGGTACGCCACGATTCCATATAAGGTCTGTCATATCTGGAGTTGAAATTTTATTTGAAAAAAATATGACTATAGGACCACGTGGAAATAAATCACATGTGGGAATGTGGGTGACTAACTGCAGGTTGAGCGTGGCATAAAGGCCATTTCCGGGACTAATTTGTATGCGGGAAATGTTGCATTATCTAATCTTGGATTTTGGAAAACATGTCAACAACACTTCAAGGTATTTTAACCCAGTTGAGGAACAATCGCGCGATTGGCATTCGACCAAAAATTGGGCTACAGCATGATTAAATTCCAGAGGGAATTTGACGAATTCCTAAAAATTAAAATAAAAAAAACAATGTAGAAACGCATGTCCGGCCTTCTTTTGATTGAAATAAATTGGGATCACGAACGTTGCGATTAAAAATCCGGTACATTGAACTAAATATACATTTTATCTGACTGCAAATAAAAATCACACCGAAATAAAGTCGATTGAATGTTCGTGTAAAAAGTTGTTGAATCCTCAATAAGCTTTTAAGTAGGCGTCAAGAGCAATTGATGTCCACAATTAACCATTTCTACATCTGCCGGTCCACAAAACGCAATTTTCCCGGAATTTCCCCACTCGTGTGTACGCAATATTATGCAAACCTTATCTCTTGCAACACGAATGCATTTCCATTACAACAGATAAATCTATCCCATCACATATGTTTCACTCGAGAATACAGCACACACATAAAAATAAATTAAAAGCAACAACAGGGACAAATGCCATCCGAAATCAGATTTTAAGTGGATTAAGAGACCCTCGAGATAATTCGTTATTTATTGCGGTCTTTAGCTAATAATGTATCATCCTGAAGTAGCCCTACATTACGCTCGCAAGAAACTTTGCCGTGGGCCACCCGCAAGCTAATTACCAGTATTTTGCACATGTGGTTAATATTTTGCCTTTTTGAGGGAAACTGGAAACGGACATGACCACCTGCACGACTGGAAAATATATTAAGTGTAACAAACAGTTGTGTTTTGCTAATTTGCATAGTTATTGTTGAAAAATATAACAGTTATGGCACGAAGAGGAATACGATTAAAGAGAAAATAATCGTGTTTCGCATCAATCTTCGTCAGTTTCTTGTGACAATTCGCGCACAACTTTTGATTCTTTAAAATAAAACTAATCATAATATTTACTCTCTGCTTGTTCTCACTCGCCCAACAATAACGGAATTTGCCTAGGACGTGACTGATTTATTTCGCGAAATCTTTTGGATTATACAGAAAAAATAATCGGGACAACTAAACAAAATAACGATTTAAAATCGAATGAAAATAGTTTAAATATAACTACAAAAGCAAATAACTTTGAAATGGAACATCCAACATATTAATTTCGCTCGGACATTAATTTTAATTGTCACACTAAAACTAAATTTAAAATGACACGGCGGCTTGGTGTTTTTCCTTGTTATTCCACAAAAATAATTTAAAAGGTTTGAAGTAATAAGTCTATAAGTAATAAAAAATATTCAGTTAGGCAGAAGGAATATTTCGTTATTGCAATACATGATGAGAAAAATTCCAATCTTATGAACGTTGGGAACGAAATCTACAATAACTTCGTCTGCTTTCACTAAATATCTGAATAAAGCCATTTATATGGACGAGATTGCAAATATTTTTGAAATTTAATTTTAAACAAAGTTTGAATTTTGAAAAAACATGGTTTTGGGATTAATAGAAATTATAGGATAAATATTCAGACCAAAAAAAATTACCCCATTTACTCTAAAAGTGCCTTGTTTTAAAACTTTTATAAACTAAGCGGCTTGTAAATAAAAACTCCCCCAACAGTTATTAAGTCCGCATCTCTTTATTGTGTAACACTGGAATGAAAACACATTTTGCATATTTCCTAAAACCACCCTTTCAAGGTTTCAAACTTACAAAGTCAACAATAAATGAACTCGGGCTGTCACTTCCTACGCCAGTCCAAATATAATTACAATCCCTTTTGCTTTTAAACAGGCCTCAATATCAGCTTCCAATAAGTTTGTGGAAATTTTATCCAGGTCAAAGTTTGCGATTGGATTCTAGGAGGTCACGGTATGAGCAAAGCTTTTTTCTTTGATAAAGTTGCGGCGAAAATTGCCCTCTTATCAAGGTGATAACAAAATTATGGCGATTTGAAAATTTAAATTGAGTGAAAAGAGTATCCGGTGACAAGCAAAGCGACAAGATATGGATTGCGTTTCGCATAAAACAACAAATTAAAATTTTTTGAGAATTGGTTTACTAGTCAATGTCAAAATGGGGGTACTTTTCAGGCTCATGTACTTACACATTTCCCTGCCGAGGACCCAGGTTTCGGGCCGCGAGTTGACCTCGACGAGGACGGTGGGTGTGCATACCAGGAGCACCATTAAATCGGCAACACTTAAGTTTACTAAAAATATATTCGTGCTGTTCCTCATATCCTTAGTTTTAAAAATAACGATAGGCACCATTACATTTCCGATTACACCCAAACACATTATTATAATGCAGAAAACCATCGACGTCGTCCGGATGTAATTGGGAAACACTGATGATGACGACTCGTTGAAGTTCGAAACGTTCGATGTGTTGTATAAATCAATCGTCGACGATGGTGTATACAGATAATTCGATGTGCTTATGTTAAATTCAATCAGAGGTGTTGAGTTCAGAGCACTTGATGTTGTCGTCGTCGTGGTTGTTGTCGAAGGGCTGAATTTTGACGAAATCATATCATAGTAGGCTTGGGGTCAATTATCACCACTTTCAGTCTCCATTTTAAAAAAAATCTGAAAGAAAATTGAGAGAATCTACAATATAACTACAAGTGATGAACTGCTGATTCACAAATTTTGATTTTTTCCTAAAATTTCAAAAAATGCAGAAAAAAATATGTTTATTACGAGCATTTGGACTCACCTTTTGAATTCTGTAAGTTTTTTGTTTTAGTTTTTTGATAATGTTAACATTTTTTTGAGTTCAGACTTAAGTTACGCTTTCTTTTATTTTATTAACAAAAATAAACTTTTCGTTTTATTTAACCTTCGTCGTGGTTCTTTTCAAATCTTGAATTTTTATATTTTTTGACAAACATATCGAAATGACTTTCTTCAAAATATCTATCTTTTAGTAAGATTTTCAACCTTGTTTTTAGAGATTTTCGAAATCTTGCTTTCAAAATTTAACTATATTTATTTTTTGTTGTAAGAAATAAACGTTATAAGGTGAGTTTCAAACATCTTACTTTTTCATTTTATTAAAAAAAAAGATTCAAGATAGTTTTTCTCAAAATTAGGCCTTTAAATTTTTGTCAAAATCACAAATCTTTATATCTCATTTTATTAAATTAGTAAGTTTTAATTTTATTTTAAAATGTTGTTTTATCTGATATCTTTCAGGATTTTAATGTCATTTCAGAAAAGTAACAAAAACATGTTTCAAAACTTCTTTTTGTAAAAATTTTTGTATTTATTTTTTGACATTTGACATTTTTTTGTTTATTTAATGATACTGATGATTTTATATATGTTTTTTTATAATTACGTATTTAGTAAAGGTACAAAAATTTTGCCAGTAAGCCACAAACAACATTAAACAGAGTTGCAAATTAGGATACAGCTTCCTTCTAATAGCCTGTAGCAAAAAACTTGAAAAATTATTTTTCCAAAAGAAATAAATAGAGTCAAAGTGCAAAATTTAAATTCTCATAACTTCAAAATTTTTTAGATAGAATTTTTTTAACATTTTTTCCATGTTCTTAGTATCGTATGGCATTTTTCTCTGGGGCGCGAGTTCTGGCGCACCCTGTATAGGTAAGTTTAAATTTTACTAAAATTTCAAAATCAAATTTCAAAACTCAACTTTTTACTGAAGATCTTAAATATGTTCAGTGAATATAATTGGAAATCTAAAAACTTGAGAACTAATGTCAAGTTTGCGAGATATGAAAATGAAAAATGAGCGAAAGTAGATCCTTATCTCCCAGAAGCGAAAAACACCTATTTCCTCAAGAGCTGTTCCCGTGAACTTGGGATTAACAAGGAATGTAAAATTTTAAGAGCAAGGTTAACTAAACCACATTTCATGAAACTTTGCACCTCGTGTGCTGAAAAAATAACGACTACATATGCCCTTGGAGGCTGTAAAGTAACAAATTATGGCCTCCTCGCCGTGATGAGCTATTCAACAATAAAAGAAACTCTCTCGTCTCTGTAACTCGTGAAAATGCTTGTTGTGTATCTTTTGAACCTGAGAAAGCATCTCTAATAAATCAAAGAGTTTCGGTCATTGCCAAACAGATCATCGTTGGTCAAACAAACTTGAAATTACGACTGGCGTTCGTCTCTCCTGTCAAATAAATCATTTTTTAAAGCTGAACCGAATGTCTTGAGTTTTTTAATACAAAACACGTGTTTTTAAAAGACTATTATTAACATAATCGATTGCAAAATTGCAAAAATTTTGCTGGTGCGTAAAAACATAATAATTTAACAAACGATTACGCCGAAGGACTCCTTATAGTTTCAGTTGACGTAAATAAATAATTTGTAAACGTTACTTTTTGTTACGGTCTACTAAACTGAGAAAATTCAGTTTTCAGCACGCACTACGCCTGAAACTTTTGCCAACATTTTTCTTTCACGGTTATCACTATAAACTGATTATACACGTGTCGAGATTTTTCATCCCGGACAAGCTTTTATTTAGAAAAATATGAATGTAAGTACTGAATTATTTTTAGCAGTGTTGTGTTATTCTAGCAATTACATTTCTAATAAACATGATTTACTAGGATAATGTGGCAGGTCTTGGCAACACAATTGAGTGAATGACATTTTATTAAGTCAGTTGTGTTTACATTGTTTCAAATAGAATACATTATGACTCTATAGTGCAAATTGAGTTGCAAATACAAAAAAAAAATCTGAATTTATTCAAAAAAAGAAATCAATTAAAAAATAAAATACTTCTAGATACAATAAAATAACCAAACGGCCTTATTTCGCCAGGACAGGTTTAGGTTTTTATTGTCTTGTCCTGTTTTACGTGCACGTCATGATTTGTCCCGATTTTAGGAAAAACAGTTTCAAATTTGGTTTCCTGAAAATCGAGCCAAGTGCCAAAATTATTAAATTTGAGTCTAATTTATTTTTTTAATAGATGTTGAAAAAGCATAGTTTTACATTCGCAATTATGGCCATTATTCACTCAAACATAATCTTCCTAAATAATGGCTGTCATAATGCAGAAAAAAATAAGCATTTAGAAATCGTAATTAACAAAATTAAGTTAAAAAATTAAATTTTTAATGACAATATTTTATATCGTTATTGTTATTACTTTTAATTTGAATACAATTTTGAATTTCCGGAAATATTTTACTTCAACTTTATTCGATTTACTTCAATGTTATATTTATAATACAGGGTGCGCCAGAACTCGCGCCCCAGAGAATAATGCCATATAAGGTAAAATAACAGGAACATGGAAAAAATGTTAAAAAAAGTTTATCTATAAAAATGTCGAAGTTATAAGAGTTTAAATTTTGCACTTTGACTCTATTTATTTCTGTTGGAAAAATAATTTTCCAAGTTTTTTTGCTACAGGCTATTAGAAGAGGAAACAAGAAAACAGTATCTTAAATTGTAACTCTGTTCAATGTTATTTGTGGCTTTTATTCGCAAAATTTTTGTACCTTTTCTAAATAATTGTAAAAAAATATATACAAGATCATCAGTATCATTAAATAGACATGAAAAAATGTCAAATGTGCCAAAAAATATGTCAAAATTTTTTGACAGATAGAATTTTTTAAACATTTTTTTCATGTTCCTGGTATCTTATCTTACTTCAAATTTTCCTTTGGGGCGCGAGTTCTGGCGCACCCTGTATAGTAATTTATCGGTCAATTATTACTGTTTGCAGTCCTCGTTTTTGGAAAAGTGTTTAAAATCAACAAAAATGTAAAGTGATTTTTTTTATATGAGTGGAAAGTGTGGAAAATATTTATTTCACTTTTTTACTCTTTTCTGAGTTAATCTTGAGTTAATTAACATTAAATATTGATTTTTTCTAAAATTTCATGAAAAAATCTAATTTTTTAAACTTTTCTTATAATTAGGTTTCCATATAAACTGCACCTCTTGTTTTACTAAATTGTTTAAAAAATCTTTACTGTTTTAAGATCTACAGTTACTAGTTAATAACCTAACATATCTGAGTTCTTGTAGAATTGTAAAAAAATTTTTTGACTTTCTTTTTTCAGATAATGAGTTTTCATAGTAGCTCTTACTTAAGAGAAAAACTGGAATTTTTAATTTAAAGGTTCGATAATTATGTCAAGATAAATATTTTGAATATTTTTTAAATTACGTTTCGATATTTTTT